ACTCTTTACTCAACTTCAAAACTTAAGTCTTAAAACAAAGTTAAAAAGCATTTGCAAAAGACTTCTTGAAAAGACTCTCAAAACTTCATAGACTTGGCTCTTGACTTTCCTTGAATTTGAATTTATGGATTCAAGGTTATGATTCATATTTATGGATGATTTCTAGGTGTTTAGAAGTAATTTAGAGTAGTTAAAATCAATAGAAAGTGTTAGGACACTTTAGAATAACTTAAATAGGCTAAACAACGAAAACTGGTGAAAAACGCCGATCCAGGCGCGTCCCTGGCGCACTGCGCCATGCCCCATTTTACTGGGACTCATTTCTGACGCACTGCTGGCGCACTGCCCCAGCCTTCCTGGCGCTATGGGGGCGCGTCATGCTAGCCTCCCTTCACGCAAAATTCAGACGAACTTTTGATCGCGCTTTCTGACCCTAATTCATTTTAATTCGATTCTTTTTCCCAAATTCACTTTAGATTCATGTACCCAAATCATATACACAAATCTAACTCAAACAACTTAGGGAAACAACACTTAATCATTAAGAAACTCCTAAATACCAACTCATATTCAAGAACGAAATCAATTCAAGAACAACTATCAAGAACATCAATTTCTCAATCATTTTAGGACGAAAACACGCTGAATTAAACATGCTTGACGCGTGGGTGAACTAACCCAACGCTATGTGATCTCCCATACCTTGTAGGGATCACCCCCGACGAAATCCACAAGCTAAACTCGACGATCTTGACGATTTCCTTGTTTCTCCTTCTCTTTTCTCCTCTTCTCTAAAACCCTAACTCTTTTCCAAAAGCGTAAAACTAACCCAGTTCAGTTTAGACCCTTAATTAATTCACTAAAATGAATTAAAATAAAAAGGTAAGGAAAAGACCAAACAACCCTTCAAAAATCCGGATTTGAACTTTCCTTAAACAAACAGCCCAACTTCCAAAGGGGATAACTCTCGAAATCGCGCAAACTTGGCGGCGTTGGAAAGATCATTCCAAGAGATTTCCAACCATTTCTGAAACTACACCTAATTCAAGCAAAATGGGATTTTAGTCTTGCTTTTCTTTAACTTCTACCACTAGTGATGATTCAACCTCATTCGTCACCACTACTCATCCTTCTGTGGAATCCATACGTCGGACTCCTAGGCGTGCAAGCCTATGCACATCTTTCGCTAACTCTCTCTTTTCTTCATCAACATGGGCGGTACTACCCATAAACAACCTGCTCAAAGCATCAACAACAACATTAGCCTTACCTGGGTGATAAAGAATACTCATGTCATAATCCTTGAGTAATTCTAACCACCTCATTTGTCTGAGATTAAGCTCTTTCTGAGTGAACACATATTGAAGGCTCTTGTAATCAGTGAATATATCAACATGAACACCATACAAATAATGACGCCATGTCTTCAAAGTGAATACTACAACAGCCAACTCTAAGTCATGGGTTGTGTAGTTCTTCTGATGAACTTTCAATTGTCTGGAGGCATAAACTATAACTTTGCCATTCTGCATTAAGACACAACCCAAACCAACTCTAGATGCATCACAATACACCACAAAACCTTGAATACCTTCTGGTAAGGTCAAAACTGGGGCAGTGGTCAACCTCTTTTTTAATTCCTGAAAGCTTTTCTCACAAGCTTCTGACCATTGAAATTTCACTGTCTTCTGAGTCAACTTGGTCAAAGAAGACGAAATAGATGAGAACCCCTTTATGAACCTTCTATAAGCGCCAGTTAAACCCAAGAATCTCCTAATATCAGTTGGAGATGTGGGTCTAGGCCAATTCTGCACTGCCTTAATTTTCTAAGTATCAACTTTAATTCCTTCTCCAGACACAATATGGCCTAATAATGCCACATACTCAAGCCAAAATTCACACTTAGATAATTTATCATATAACTCCTTATCTTTCAAAGTCTGAAGAACTATTATGAGATGATTAGCATGATCTTCTTCATTCCTTGAATAGATTAGTATGTCATCAATGAAGACGATAACAAACATATCTAAATAAGGTTTGAAAACTCTATTCATAAGATCCATGAACACTGCCGGTGCATTGGTCAGACCAAAAGACATGACCAAAAATTCATAATGACCACATCTGGTTCTAAAAGTTGTCTTTGGAATATCACACTCCCTTACTCTCAACTGATGGTAACCTGATCTGAGGTCTATTTTCGAAAAACAAGAAGCACCCTGAAGCTGATAAAAACGATCATCAATTCTCGATAGAGGATACTTATTCTTGATGGTAACCTTGTTCAACTGACGGTAATCTATGCACATCCTAAGGGAACCATCTTTCTTTCTCACAAATAAGACTGGAGCGCCCCAAGGTGAGACACTTGGTCGAATGAAGCCCTTTATCTAATAGATCCTTTAACTGCTCTTTCAACTCTGCTGGTGTCATTCTGTATGGTGGAATAGAGATAGGACGAGTATCTGGAATGATGTCTATGCCGAAGTCTATTTCTCTCTTAGGAGGGACTCCGGGTAGGTCTCCGCTTCTGCATACAATATGTCTTTTTATCGTTACCTAAGGATGAATTTAAACGATACGATATAAGAGCACAAGAACAAATCTAACTATTTTTTCTTTTGGCTTATACATTTTGACATATATAACCACTTTTTTTATTTTGGTTTTAAGACCAAATGAGCTTGTGGTCATTAATTAACTGCGTAGATGGTTAAGCTTGAAGAAGTCAACAAAATTGAGAGAGTTGTACTTTCACCTCACCTAGGCATTAAGTACGAGTTGTATACTTTTCAATCATTTTTGTGCACTACGTAAACCCCACCTATAATAGCCTGCTGCAAATCACATCGAAGATATAAATTGCACTAGGCAATTCCTATGCAATAATTTTTCAATGTTAATATATACAATATTTAAATAATTACATATTTATTGTTCATATTAATTGAAAATTTTAGTTTGTACTCAATCTTTTACTAATCATTATGCAATAATTTTAAAAATTTATTATTTGTTAAAATACAATTGATGTAATTATAATTAAAAGTTGTAAGTAATTATATTTGTAGCTAATTTCTACTCCTTAATTTGTTTAATTCATTTCAATTTGAATCAATCACGTTTTAATATTGACTTTCTAAGATTGTTATCAATTTTTTTAGGTGTCTTCTTAGACATTTCAAGCCCAAACCAATTATATTATCGAATAATTAAATTTAAAGAGACATTGTCTAACTTTGAATGTCTTATAAAGCGTAACAATCACTACAATATTGATGAGTTAGGCCTATTTTTATAATTAAAGGTAATACGAAATATTATACAAAATAAAAATTATACTCCAATTGACATACTAGGTGATGTCTTAACGCTATTTTTTAATAAATATTTCTACTACTTCTAGATAAACATTTGTGGTATTGTGTAAGGTGTAATAATTTATATATAACTATTTCAGTCCTATGAATTATTACAATTTTTTTTTTATTATACTATGAATTGAAAAAGAGAATTAACTATCAAATTTATAATTAACTATTAGAATATATAAATGATTACATAAACATAAGATCTCTTTTTAAAAAAATAGTTGACTTTAGGTCTCGCATCCTATTAAGCTGTCGCAATTCTGGTTAGGTGACATATCAATATATGTGATAAATTTCAATCTTGTATCTATAAATTACACAAAAATAACTTTTTGGGATTCATGTTGTTGACCGTCCAAACTCCTAAATTACTTTATTGTCAATTTAATTTAACTTAAATTAATTTAAATTAAAGTAAAGATGAATTAATATTAATATTCATCACAAAAATATTCAGAAAAATTTAAGGGATACATTATTAAATTGAATTACATATTATAATAGTTAGTAATAATTTTTTTACTAATTTTAAAGATTTAAAAATTAATACTAAATTGACTAATTTTCAATTGAATTTTAAACATGAGTCGATATTCAAATTTCAACACTAAGATTACTACTAATCTTAAATTCTCTCACTCACATTATATTGCATAAAAAAAATTAAATGTCATAATTTAATTTAACTAACCAACATGATCCCTTCATGTCTAAGACTCTAAAAACTTTCACTCAGCAAAAGCAATAAATAATTATTTAGAGAGCAGAGAGTTGATATGTGTGGCTATGTTTTGGGCATCAAATGCAATCCCATAAAGTCCTCTTCTTGATAACCCCACACAATAGAGTCCATTCTTCCCCTTCCAATGTTGTGGAAATTCTGGCTTTGGTAATCCATCTTCATTCAGCAGATAATCATCTCCCTACACAATAAACACATATAGAATGCAAAAAAAAAAAAAAAATTTTAGAATCATCTGAACTTATTATCTTTTTCTTCAAAAACAAAATTAGAAAACAGAAGAAAATCACACAACAAAGAAGACAATTTAATATTATTATTATTAGAATACAAAAAAAAAAAATGGTTACTCACCTGAAGCCAGTTGTGAGTAGTTCTCTTGAAGCCAGTAGAAAAAACAATACCATCAAATTGATGAATTTTACCATTTTCCAACACAACATCATTTCCTCTTATGCTTTTCATTGCAGGTAACACCTGTCACCATAATTTTTTTTAATCACATGAATCAGATACAGTTTGAATTTCGAGAGTCAAACAATTTATGTTACCTGAATTTCACCAGACTTGATCTTTCGATAAGTCCCCACATCAAAAACAGGGTACTTCCCATACTTTATTTTACAAGCAAATGGTCCTTCTTCTGGCCTTTTCACCCCATAATACTTGTTTATCTCCATACATCAACTTGCTTAACATCACCATTATAGTATCCACCACTGTGTATGCAACTTTGTACTTCAACAACATCAGCCCCAAATATCCCATCTCTCTTGATATCAAGTGCATCTGTAACATACAGACGCATGATTAGAAATTTGGGGTTCTAAATTTTAGGACTGAAGAATGATATAACGAAAAATATTTAAAATAAAATCAATTGATTACCGGGCTTCGAATAATGATTGAAGTATTAGCACCATTATTAGCAAGATCAAGAGCAATTTCCATGCCTGAATTTCCACAACCAACAACAAGGAATTTTTACCCCTATACTTCTCAGCATTTTTGTATTGAGTAGAATGAAAAGCATCTCCAGTGAAACTTGCCAATCCAGGGACATCAGGGATAAAAGGGTAACTAGCTTCACCAGTAGCTACAACAAGAAATTTACAAAAATACTCTTCCATTTCATCAGAATTACCATTTCTAACCTTAACATTCCATTTTTTAGTAAATTCATCAAATTTAGCAAATTCAACATTTCTTTTGTAAAAAGGGGTGATATTAAAATGAGTAACATAGTCATCCAAGTATTGAATGAATTGTGTTTTTGGTATATAAGTAGGTGAAGAAGAAGGAAAAGGAATATAAGGAAGTTGACAAAATTGTTTAGCTAAATGAAGATGAACTCTATCATAAGAATATTTTTTCCACATAGGAGAGTAACAATCTTCTTTTTCAAGAATGAGATTTGGTATACATAATTTATTTAGACATGCAGATGTAGCAAGACCACCAGGCCCACCACCAACAATGATAACCATAGGTTCTTCATAATTATCAAATGTTGCCATGACTAAAATTGAGAAGAAAATTTGTTGGTGTTGAGAGAAAAAATGATGAGGGATATGTATATATATACATGGAAATATGCTACTCCCTCCGTCCACTTTGATTTGTCATGCTGTGCTTTTCGAAAGTTAATTTGACTAATTTTCAAAGTCAAATTAGATTACATTAATTCGATATTTTAAACAAAAAAAATTAGATTTTCAAAAACTATACGAAAAGTGCTATAAATTTGCAATTTTTTTGATGAAAATATACATTGTAAAATATTAGTCAAAGTCTTTATAGTTTGACTCTGAAAAAAGAAGTTATGACAATTAAAAGTGGACGGAGGTGGCAGATGACAACTTTGGAGTCATTAGAATTTATTATTATTTTTTGACTATTTTACTGTTCATTTATGTTGACTTATTAATTTTTCTTTCCCCTTTTTATTATTTTTTGACTATTTTAGTGTTCATTTATGGTGACTTATTAAATTTTCTTTCCCCATTTTATTTGGGTATGATTTTGTAGATTGTGTTGAATTTGAACTTATTTTGGTATCATCTCTATAAAATTTGTACAATATCATTTCAATGTTTGTGGTAGAATTTAGAGAAAATGCATAAATTCCCCTCACAAAATTTAATTTAGCAATGTAACTTTATAAGCGTTTCTTTACCCCTTAATTCTAGTTTGAGATCAATTAAGCTAAACTAAATTTTTTTGGTTTGACTTAAAAACATGTGTAATTTTCACATCAAACATAAATATGAGGAGTCTTAAAGCAACCACCTCCCCCATCCCCACTCTCACCCTCAATTTACTTTTAACTCTCAGATTTATAAAATTATATTTTAGCACTAATTCTTAACTATAATAAGACATATTCCTTCATTTTTCCTCACCATTCTAACTATTAACTAAGCTTGTGCACAAATCGGTCCAACTCGAATTGTCGGACAAAATTCGAAGCAATTTGGATAATATAATTTAGTTATACGATTCAAATTTGATTTATAAATTCAATTATAAAATATTATAATTTTTTTTATTGCATCCGATCCAATCAAGAAATTGAACTGCGTAAACGTGATTAAAAGTTATTAATACCAAAACATGTGGTTGCATATTTGTGAAAAAACTCCGATAGGTAATTGAAGTATTTATTTATCAAACATATAGGAGTATTTATTTTGAGAAGGTTATTTTTTAGCGTGAAGAAATATATAAAGTGTGTCTTAGTAAAATATGTTACTATTATGCCTGCAAGCTAGTAGTAGCACAATCTATTTATTTATTTGGTACCCTTGGGCCACCGATAACCTTTGTCACAGTCTCTGTCCGAACAACCACTCAACTTTGTTCTTGCGGTCGAGTAGCATAAATTATCAAGCTCTTGTTTTGCCATTTATATGATATAAATAAAATAATGTATAGGGCATGTGCACTTCTAACCGTACATGCAGGAGAAGTAGGTATCAGATGAATGAATTAAGGATGAATGTCAAAAATTGTTAAGACAAATCAGAATTTGAAACATGTATCAATCATTATTTTTATTTCCAAATAAATCTAAATTATTTAAAATGTATGTAATTATTAATTTTTTACATTCTATTTTGTGGTGACAGTTTGAGATTACTATACGATGATAATTTGAAAAAATATTATTTTAACCTTGATTGTTTCCTAAAACATTATGCAAGTATTTATGAATGGTAGAGATGTGTACAAGATGGCTACAACACAACAATTACAAACAAATCCAATCTAAAAACATGGAAGAATTTTATTATAAAAAGTCCAAACTCACATTGAAGTTTGATTTATATATAAAGATGTCCTTGTTCTTTACGTATTAAAAATAAAGCTTCTTTCAATTTTGACATAAAGAGTATAAAGAACCACTAGAAAATTCAGTAAAGTATGTTATTCAATTCTTGAAATTAAAAAGAATGACAAGTTTAATCAATCTTGGTCAAAATCTGATCAAGTTAAATGAGGTTTGAAGTGTAAAAATTCTCACATTCTTTTAATTCTAATCATTCTCCATTTTCTCTAGCTATGCCTCTTTCTCCTTTTTTTTTTTTTTTCTGAATGATTTTTTCTATTACTCCATTGTTATTGTTTTTCTTACCTTACCCTTGCTCTTTTTTCTTCCTCCTCCTTTTTCTCCTTTTATTTTCTTGTGTGTTCTTGTTGTTCTTCATCAATTTAGAAAAAAAAAACATGTAATTTATTCGTATAGTACTGGATATTACCTAGAATTAATATTCGATCATTTGATAAGTTAATAATGTTGTGTTATAACAATTGTTTATATTGTGAAGTTGCATTTTCAAGAAATTTCGATAACAGTTATCCATGTTGCAATGAGAAAGTTATTATATAAAAACTTTTAAGTTTTTCATAACAACTAACAAAGAAGTTACTACAATTATTGCAAATGCTACATATTATATGAATAGCTTTTAAACATGTAAAGAAATTTGTTGCAATAGTTGATGTAATTAATGCAATTTTCAAATGAACAATTGAATCTATTAGAACAACTAATAAACTTCTTGTGTATATAGCGATAATTGTTGTACTTGGCAAGCATTTTCAAACAAGTAAACTACCAAATTGTACAATTGCAAGTTCTCTTATACTTTAATTCTATTTATGGGACTAAACCTGAATGCAAAATAAAGATAAATAATAAATTTTATTTTAGTGCTACTAATATAAAAATATATATAACTTACATAAATTCCATAGATTTAATATGAAATTACAATCTATCCCTCATTAGTTTGTAATTACATTAATCCCTTAAAAAGTAACACAAACCGGGTACATAATATGTAGCTCAGATACATTATAACATAAACCGGATACATAATATGTAGCTCGGATATATTAAAAACTAGCTCGAATACATAATATGTAGCTCGAATACATTAAATACTGGCTCAGATACATTAATATGATACATTTAAGAAATAAGGGATTTTAGAGGTTTTTAAAAATAGAAGGGAATATTGGAAATAAGGAAAATATAAGCGTGTACTTCAGTAATTTTTCCAAAAAAATATGTGTTGATAAAAATTGTATTAGTTCAATTAGTTGAAACATACCTATTGTATAATGATGATATCGTAGATTCGAGCCTTATTATATGTTAATGTTTTTTTTTTTTAATTTCAAAAGGAATGACCTAGTTTGACTTGACACGGAGTTTAAGCAAATAAAAAAGACTTTTTAATTTTGTGGTCCTAAATTAAAGTTAAGTCAAATGTACCAAAATATCTTTAATCTTGTGAACTTAAACTTGACACGATAAATTAATGTTTTGCCAAAAATAGAAATGAGTCATTATTTTTAAACAAACTGACAAGGAAAATACATTATTCTTTTTGAAACAGGCTAACAAGGAAAGAAAAGTATATTATTATTTTTTGAAACAAAGTAATAATTAATAAGAATTTTAGTACAATTACAACAAATGTAAGGCTACAAATTGTAACTGAAACTACTACTTGCACTATAGTTACTACGAACACAAAGGGTTTCTAACACTTTTGTTTGGATGGTTGTTACATATTATTTTATAATGTATTATATTATATTATATTTTGTTGTATTGTATTGTACTGTATTGTTTTAATGAATACAATGTTTAGATAGATTGCAACGTTCTCTGTCATTACATAATGTTACACATCCATAATTTGAATGATAAGCCTACAAAAAAAGTAGGATACGGGATATGGTTACAATGAAAAGGTAGGATAAAAGATGAAATATGATTCTTAAATAATAAATAAAGACAAAATGAGTGAAAATATTAAGGTAACAACACGATAAAACCAAATTGATCGTTACATAAAAATTAAAATATGTCTTTTTATCGTTACCTAATAATGAATTTAAACAATACGATATAAGAACACAGAACAAATCTAACTGTTTTTTCTTTTGGCTTATATATTTTGACATATATAACAACTTTTTTTATTTTGGTTTTAAGACCAAATGAGCTTGCATGTGGTCATTAATTGCCTGCGTAGATGGTTAAGCTTGAAGAAGTCAACAAAATTGAGAGAGCTGTACTTTCACCTCACCTAGGTATTAAGTACGAGCTGTATACTTTTCAATTATTTTTGCGCACTAGGTAAACCCCACCTGTAATAGCCTGCTGCAAACTACATCGAATATATAAATCGTACTAAGCAACTTCTATGCGATAGTTTTTCAATGTTAATATTTACAATATTTAAATAATTACATATTTATTGTTCATATTAATTGAAATTTTTAGTTTGTACTCAATCTTTTACTAATCATTATGTAATATTTTTAAAATTTTTATTATTTTTTAAAATACAACTGATGTAATTATAATTAAAAGTTGTAGGTAATTATATTTATAGCTAATTTCTACTTCTTAATTTGTTTAATGCATTTCAATTTGAATCAATCACGTTTTAATATTGACTTTCTAAGATTGTTATCAATTTTTTCAGGTGTCTTCTTAGACATTTCAAGCTCAAACCAATTATATTATCGAATAATTAAATTTAAACAGACATTGTCTAACTTTGAATGTCTTATAAAGCGTAACAATCACTATAATATTGATGAGTTAGACCTATTTTTATAATTTAAGATAATACGAAATATTATAGAAGTAAAAATAATACTCCAATTGACATACTAGGTGATGTCTTAATACTATTTTTTTATAAATATTTCTACTACTTCAAGAATAATTTTGATAGTTTATGTAATAATTGACTCAATTTAAAAAGTTTTTAAGACTATAGAATTTACCTAGAATATAAATATTTGTGGTATTATGTAACGTATAATAATTTTTATATAACTATTTCAGTCCTATGAATTATTACAAAAAAAATAATATTATACTATCGATTGAAATTTAAAAAAATATTGTACTAACAATTGAAAAAGAGAATTAAGTATCAAATTTATAATTAACTATTAGAATATATAAATGATTACATAAACATAAGAT